CCCCAAAACCCCAAAACCCCAAAACCCCGAAAGCCAATTAATTTGAAAAATTTAATAGAATTAAATTCAAAATGGAATTAAGCAAAAACTAAGATATAGAATAAGATATGAGATACATAAATCCTAATCTTACTGAAGATATAAAGAAGCAAGACAAATATATCAAGTTCAAATAATGGCTCATTGATAATGGAGCATAGTTTGATATGGTAGACTTTCCATGTGTCTATGGAAATGGCTTGATGGGTATTGGCGCTAAAAAGGAAATCGGTTAATTCAAGGTACAACATTATACATTTAAAAAACTTTAACATACAAATTTTAGGCTTTTCTTTTTATTCCTAACTCATGCATTATCTCTGTCACAAGAGTAAAGAACGATCCATTTCTAGGAGAGATTGTGAGAAGTCATTAGGGGGTATTTATGAAGCACTCTGATGCTGACTAGCTATGTCTAGCTCTCTTTTTAATGCATGAATACCTAAAAGGACCTTCATCCTACTGGTGGCCATATCTTGAGGTCATGAATGAATCTGATTTAGCTTATAAATGGTCAGAAGATGAACTCAAGCTTTTGAATGATTATGAAGTGATTCACTAGGCTAAAGCTTATTAAGATGATATAAATGAAGAATGGGAGAAAATGTCTAAGATATTATAACTGTACTAAGATCAATTCCCAGGGGTTAATAAAGCAATTTTTGAAAAGATGTATAATTTTGCTTGCACAAGATGCTTTGGCTGGACACTACCTTCAACAATGATGGTGCCTCTAGCAGATTTTTTGAATCATCATCCTAGTGAGACTCAATATGAGATTTATTAGAAACAACTACATGAAGTCAAAACTTCAGTTGATAGCTAAGGATATAAGACGAGCAAAAGATTCTCCATTGATTACTCTGAACTATATGAGAAAGATCAGTAGAATATTGACTAGGATACATTAAAGAAAATAAAGGGTGAAGTTGAAGAGAAAGATAAGATTTATATCCCAAGGCCCTAATTAATGAAAGAAGTTAAAAGGAAGTTTATTAAGTAGCCAGAGTTAAACATGTGGGAACTCGGCTATTGGTCTAGTGATGAAGAGGAAGACAATGATACCGAAGATGAAGATAATGGTGATTATGATTACTACGATGAAGAAGATGAGGATGCTGTAGATCCAACTGAGTTGATTTAACAAGAGAAATACTTAAAGAGCTTGAAACCTGAGGAAAAGCCTTTTATGGAGTAAATAAGCGACATAGAAAAGAAAGTGATTCTGAAGCACGACAACTTGACAAAGAAACGAAAGGCAAAATACACTGAAGAGGATTTTAAATGGTGGAATTTCGATGATAGAGAGACCTATTTCGTGCTGACTACAAAGCGTAAGAATACTTACTAAGTAGGGGAATAATTACTCAATTGCTATGGAAGAAGGTGCAATTAATTCTTGCTATTATAGTATGCTTAAAATTCATGTGAATAATATTTATAGTTATGGATTCTGCTTCGATAAAAATTAATATGACTCAATCCAAATAAGAATTTGGAAATCACTTTCAAGAGAGGATAAAGACGTTAATAAGCTTGCGAAGGCAATTTTAGTTACAGAAGAATAATTCCTAGAAAATCAAGATGAGATAGAGTCTCAATCTAAGTTGGTGAGGTTTAAAATGAACTCTTTGAATGAAGGTACGAAACATTAGCATATTTAAACTAGTTTAGATTTACTTTCTTATCTAAGAGCTCATTTGCTTGTCGCATATTAAGGCCCTGATATAATGAAGATCAAGATGACTGAGCCAACTCTTTTAGATTACGAAATAATGGTAATGGAGCAATATCAATATCTGCTTTTGCTTTTGAAACAAAATAGATTCTCAAATATTACTTTGCAAGAGGAGGAGACTCTTCTAAAAGAAAACTAAAATGATTGGAAAAAGAAATTTATTGTAAGAATTAAGTCTTATTTTATCTTATCATTTTAGTATTCGTACAGACTCAGTCATGTAAGAATCTTGAATTCATAGTTATCTATGATATACAATATGCTTATGATTCTGAGAGATTGTAATGAGCCTGGAAGAGCTGGTGAATTTAAAAAGATTTCAAGACAGTATGCAAGTATCTCAGATGAACATATGCAAAACTGTCTTAATTTCAGAAAGTACCTTAAAGCTCTATTTGAGTAATAATGATGATAAAATAGAAAACAGATTAATTCTATTTCTTCTACATTTAAAATTTGATTAAAATATAACTTCATGGGGTTTTGGGGTTTTGGGGTTTTGGGGAGATCGGAAGAGCACACGTC